CAATTGTGAGAGCAACGCTGACCACAGCATGTCAGCAATCCCTCTTCCGTTCAATGCTCTCTCCGACCTCAAATGGTCTCATACTTGTTGGACATAAGCTCGTTCTGCAATCCGTGAAAAAGACACTTAACAAGTTGTCCGACAGCATGTCCAAGTGGCGTCCCACTAGCAATCAATGTGTGAGCTGATAGTTTCAAAGGGGAACCAGACAGCTAAGAGTTCCATGACCCTTCCAATCCTTCCATACCTTCCATTCCTATGAAATCGATCGAGCATGTTGTCTATTGGCAAAATATAAAGCTGAGATGGAAGGTATAGGTATCAGATGATGCAAGCACAGCTTTCTGTTCCAGATGGACATTCTAGCTGACATCTCTTTGTCATACTTCAAAGCTGCATAACCACCATTCAACAACATCCACTGATTACCCGCCATAGTGCAAATTTTTCATTTTCTTCTAAGAACTGGATTGTATGACAATAACTCATTGGTCAAATCCATGCATGAGCATCTGCCCTGTGTAACTATGCATCCTCGAATAAACCTGCACATAATCAACCATTTTCAGGTCCTCTAGTCACTACCTTGGGCCCCAACTCTACCCTTGGCTTAGCTGAAAGTCCTCTGGCTAACATCTCTTCGTCATACTTCCGAGCCATATCAACCATACCCTTCTGCACCAGAGCATCAATCAAAGCATTATATGCAAACTCATCCGGACTCAAACCATGCTCTTCCATCTTCTTCCAAACAATAAACACTGGTCGAAGAAAACCCCATCTCCCAAATTTCCTCATAAGCATTACATATGTGTCCATCCTTGGACGAACTCCACTTTCAATCATTCGATCAAACAGCTTAAGGATCTCCTTAGGCTGTTCAAGGCTCCCAAAAATGCAATTATAGGTAATCGCATTCGGCTCGCAACCCTTCATAGACATCTGACCAAGAATTTTATATGCTTCTTTGTACCTCCAATTATCGCACAAAAGCTTCACAATTGTATTATATGTTGCAACATTGGGTTCACAACCCAATTCCACCATCTCTCGATATAGACTAACTGCCATATCAACACCTTCGGAAATCCCAATAGCACGGATAACTGTGTTGTATGCCACCACATCCAATTTAATCCCTTTCTTCTTCATCTCCTTATACAATTTCACAGCTTTCCATGGCTTCCCACTCTTGCATTGTATATCCATATATATCGAATACGAATGCAAATCTTTATAGACACACATTTTATCCATCTCCTCCCAAAACTCTCTACACTTACTCCACCAGCCCATTTTAAACCACCCGCGAAGAATCATATTATAGATTTTGGTATTCAGAACAAAAACCAAATCCTTGGTCTTATTATTGTTCTTTCCAAAGCACAACTCTTCGGCTTCAATTACATGCTTGTACTCGCACAATGCGTCAATTAAATTCGAAAACGAAGTTTCATCCTTCAAATTAAACTGTTCCATTCGCTCATATGTATTCACAGCCTCTTCAACAAGGTGTGCAGATACATAACGCTTGAACATTACACGAAACGTGGTATGATCAGGCATTGAATAAGCATTTTCTCTCATTTTCTCAATTAAATTCCAAGAAATATCGAACTCAAAGAACTTACCCAGAATGTCAATCATCCGATTGTAGGTTTCGGTCGTGTGCTCAAACCCACTTTCGGTTTCGACCCAGCTGAAGAATTCAAGCGCTCGTTTCCAATCATTGCTGTAACATGAGAGGGTTTCGAGCACTATGGTTTTGTTAAAATCGACTGAACTGGGGGTTATTGAAGGTTTATACGTTAGATTGTGGGAAAGGTTATATTTTGATGGTGATTTTGGGTTGTTGGGGTTTGGAAATGAATAAGGTGTGGAGGGTTTTGGGTGAAAATAGGAATTTGTCGGAGGGGAAGTGTGGAAAAGATGGGAAATTTGGATGTGAGGGAGAACAGAGTAACGTAAGCGAAAGGAGTGGCATCGAGAGGAGATCGAAGAAAGCATTCTATGATCGTTTGTTTCATTATGTTTAGGTTCTTCGCATACTTTTTAATCGTTTTCATGGGAAAATTAGGGGTTAAATTGGGAGTAAGTGCCCTTGCCATTTTCTAAATCTAAATTTAAATTTGGATAAAAAAATATTTAAAATCTTCTCTATCCAAAGATATATTAATGAAGATTCAAATTTTTATTCAAATTAATAGAGACTTAAATCATTGGTGAATTAATTTTATTTTTCTTTAAAAGTCTAATTATTATATTTTATTATTCTTTAAATTTGAATTTGTTCTCATTTAAATTAAGGTTAAAAATATTCTTACATCATGTCAATCTTGTCACATAATGTAATCTTAACTCAAATTTAAATTAATATTTGAATAAAAAACTTGATTCGATACAAATGACTCTAATAGACAAACACAAATTTAGAGTACAAACTCAATTTTTTTTTTCTATATTCCAATTGTCCTAATAGATCACTCTGCTCACGTACTGGACTAATGTTGAACCCTGTGTAAAGTCGTATCCCGCATAAGGGGATAAATTTATGGGCGATAATGGAGGGTGACAATTGAATTTTTAAAGAACTAACAATGTACCACGTGCGTTGCGTGTGAATAATTTTTGTATATAAAATTTAATAAAAATTTTTAGGTATGTGTGTACCTAAATTAAATATCATCTCAAATTTATAAAAAAAAAATATATTTTTATCATTCGTATTATACTATAGAATTTAAAAAATATTGTCAATTCCCAACGATTCATTTTTCTAACTATAAGAAAAAAAATACAAAAATAATTCATTTGATTAAATTTCGACTTATAATTCATTGAATAAAATAACAAAGCTTGCCAATATTCTAATCAATGCTTATTTTTAAGGGTAACATAGTCAATTAAAAATTTTCATAGATATTAATATTTATACATAAATAATAGATAATTAAAAGAGATGTTAAGGGTAATTTGAAGATTTAAACACTAAGGATATGATGTTAATTTGGCTATTTAACTATGGAAGGATAATGTGGTATTTAAAATTCTTTATAAGGGTAAAATAATGAATCAAAAGTTTTTTATAATATGGTACTTTTATTAATAGTATAGATATAGATATGTAAATTTATATTTTTTTTATACAAGTGCATTACACGTGAATAATTTTCAATATCAAATATAATATTGCTATAAAAATTATGAAATAACATCAACTGTACAAATAAACTTTATTTAAACATTTTGTATAGTATCTAGTAATACTTAAGTCATAAACAAATTTAGACACATATTAATATGTAAAATAAGAGTTTTAATAGTCTACTCCAAATTTAATATCCGTCATTTCTAAAAAAATAACAAATAAAGGGATGTTTATATTATGATAAGCTTGGGACGGTCTACCTCAAAATTTACCATCATATTTTCAATGACAAAAGCAAATAATTTGTGAACATTAATTGCTTTATTATTTGCTGAAAGATAAATATTAAATTACACTTCAAAAGAAATGTCATATATGCTTCATGAACATCCTACAAAAAGAATTACCCATAAAAATCTATAATGAACATAGTAAAATTTTGTTTTACCACATTCAAATGGTAAAATGTATATTGTCAAAAATTAGTATTTAGTACCTTATGTCCTAGAGCAATTCAAAAAACATAGTCGAACCATAATTTACATGATGGAAGATCTCGTTTCAATTATTCAATGCATGAGAAGAATCACGTAATTTTTCTACACATGAGATATAATGTTAAATACGTAAAATAAGTTTCAATGCTAAACAAAAAATGAACCTTTACCATGGAAATTAAACACACAGAAAGTGAAGAGGCACTACACCCTTGCTAACACGTGGAGGGAGCATTTAATACTCTCACGTGATGAAAGAGAAATAAGGCACGTGAAGAGAATTATGGATACTGCCATGACCAAGTTATCCAATCAGTTCGGTTGTAAAGAAATGAGCTCGAGTCTAGTTAGACCGAGCTATTTTAAAATGGCAGCGTGGTGCTAAAAAAATGCCTATGATTAAAGCATTCTGGTAAAACAAATAAAGATAATCATTGATTTGGTAGAGGAAACTACTGGAGAGATTTCAACAATTTCCTAACAAAATTCCTTGGTTAAGGGAAGGTGTGTCACCTTGAATCGAAAATGATGGAAACCCCAGTAGCGGGAAGTTCTATAAAGAGCATAAGGAGACAAGGTGAAAGGTACGCTAAATTCTCCTTGTTTTACCCTAAATTATTCATTTCATTATTGAATTAAGCATCAGAGTGTCTTCGATTAAAGCACTTCGATCTTGGACAGTTTGTTCATTTTATAGAAGGGAAAAGCTTGGAGATCAAGTACAAAATCTGTTCACGTGAGAGACCATCTCTATTCGTTCCTGTGAGAGGTAAATTTACTTCTTTGCCTTTTATAGAAGGTATATAATTTAGAGTAAATAAATCTCAAGAGTCATTTTCACAGTGACCTTCCACCATTGATCACGTTTGATCATAAATAAAAAATATTTAACAAATCAAGAAGAAAATTTTTAAGATGTCAGTGCAAGCCAAGCTCCAAGCAAAACATAAATCATATGAAAAGAGCAAATAACCTGCAACCAAATAAAATATGTGAGTATGAGAGAATGGGAGAGGAATAAAATAGTATTACTATTAATTTATGATTGAAAATCATGGAATTGAATATGACTATTAGTTATCCACGTAGTCATAAAATAGAAGATGAAATGATTTGAATTCCATTTGATTAATTAATAAATTTATTGCTAGGAATTTGTATCATCTGCAAAGCTACACATCAATTCATATTAGATAAATGATAAAATAAACTTTATGATGGTTATCAATGACATAATAGTTGTATTAATGATAATCTATTATTTTTCATAAAATAAATATGATTAATAGATTTATTGTAAACAAAAAATTTTACAAGATGTAAATGAAAGAGAGATAGCGTCATTAACACAAGAAATAAATTAAAAAAAAAGTATAATACATGGAACAATAATTATTGTGAAAATATAAGTATACGAAGAGTCATTTGAATATATAATTCATATTATTTAATTAGAAAATAAAAAAAAGTGCAATAGACGAAATAATAATTTTTGTGGAAATTAAAGTATATGAAAGGTTATTTGAATGTATAATTAATATTAGGTAATTAAATAAATAAGAATATAGGTGCCTTTAATATTTTTTATAGGGACATAATAGGTAATCAAAAGTTTTTCACTTAACTTCCTTTTATTAGTAGTATAAATATAAATAATGAAACATGACTATTGGAGTATTGGTGATTTAAGTAAAAGTTAGAATATTTTTTTATTTAAGTAAAAATTTGATTCTCTCTTATCTTGGTATGGATTTAGGATACAATTAAAGAAGTTTTTTAGAGATTTTTATTTAAATTTAAATTTAAATTTGAGTTTAAAAAAATAGTTAATTTAACGCCCCGTTTTCCCGAAGACATTAATTGATATAAAAAAAACCATCTAATGAAGATAAACAGAGCACTAATTCCTTAATGAAATAACTAACTGTCCCAATAAAATTTTATTTATCAAAAGTATCTCCCAACACAAAATAAATTTGTCACTATAAATAAATCTCCCAATACGATTAAAAAAAAAATTAAAAAATATTAAATAAAGCAGGAAAATATACAATATGACATAAAATAATATGCTCAATAATAAAAGTACAATTGACTGAATTTCAAATAACTCAATCGATAGACAATTACAAAATCATGAATCAAATACGACATATCACAACATGCAATGCCTCATACTTGGTTCATCTTGGTAACATGGCAAATGACATTTGGGCATAAATTCAAACCTGTGCCAATCAATCACATCCGTAGGACCATAATCACACCCTATAGGACCACAATCACATTTCACAAAATATGCTCCAAGTTCTCCTTATACATGTACTAATTAGTCCAAAAGTAATTAGCTCAAAAGAAAGCTAGCCAAATTCATATCGCTCAACAAATAACGAATAAAAATACAATTTTAAGATGGTCAATAGAACACTCTTTGCAAACAAAAGCATATTGTATATTACCCCGTACCTCAAAGTTTATCTTCAAATATGAAATTTTGAGTAACACGAACAATGCTCGAACGTCGTCAAGATCAGATCACAAATCACCATTTCATTCTTTCTAAAGCCTCCCAAATTATTCCTTATTTCTCTCTTGTTATTTCTCTCTCCATGTCTTATTATCCTTTTTCTATTGAAAACATTTCCTATTTATAGGTAATAGTAGAAGTAGGAGGTGACCCTTTCAAATGATGACTTTTTCTCTTAACTTGACATTTGTCAAGCATGCATACAATCTTCCATGAATCTGGACAAGTATCCATCCCCTTGTCAAGCATGCAATCAACCTTGTTTTGTCGTTCTTGTTACTTGCCACTTGTCACTTCTAGGTCATACCCTTGCTTTGTCGTGCTTACCACGTGTCACCTCCATATTCACACACACCACATACCATATTTGACACATGTTCTATGATATGCGAAAGTTTACACTTATTACACCTTCTCGGTTACTACGGGTTTTTAACATCACGTATTTTTCTCCTAATATGAAACATATTCACTATTACA